TGCGAGAGGTCCAGTTCTTGGGGCATCTCGTCAACCAGAATGGGATATTGGTCGACCCGGCCAAGATCGAGGCAATTATGAGGTGGGAGGTGCCGAGATCCCCCTCCGAGATCAGGAGTTTTCTGGGGTTGGCCGGCTACTATCGGAGATTTATCAGGGATTTCTCCAAGATTGTCGTGCCTCTCACCAGGTTAACCCGGAAGGGTGTCGCTTTTTCGTGGGGCCCAGAGCAGCAGACCTCGTTTGAGACACTTCGTCAAAGATTATGCGAGGCCCCGATGTTAGCCCTCCCGGAAGGGATGGAGGATTTTATGGTGTATTGTGACGCATCGATATCGGGGATGGGTGCAGTACTTATGCAGAGAGGGCATGTGATAGCGTATGCATCGAGGCAGCTGAAGCCTCATAAAATGAGGTATCCCACCCATGATCTGGAGTTGGGGGCAGTGGTGTTCGCCCTCAAGATCTGGTGTCACTACCTGTATGGGGTTCGGTGTACTATATACACGGACCACAAGAGCTTGAAGTATTTGATGGATCAGCCCAACCTGAATATGTGCCAGAGGAGATGGTTGGATGTGGTAAAGGATTATGATTGCGAGATCCTGTACCACCCGGGCAAAGCTAATGTTGTAGCCGATGCCCTAAGCCGTAGGGCGGAGAGTGCCCCGATTCGGGACATTTGTATGCGATTGACGGTGATGACTCCGGTGTTGGACACTATTCGGGAGGCCCAGGCAGAGGCCGTGATGCCGGAGAACCGCAAAAGGGAGCGGGTGATCGGGCAGGTATCCGAGTTCGTTACCGATAGCCGAGGGCTGATGACCTTTCAGGTTCGAATTTGGGTGCCATATGCAGCCGGGGCGCGTACCATTCTGATGGAGGAGGCGCACAGATCGAGGTTCTCGATCCATCCCGGGGCCACTAAGATGTATTTGGACCTGAAGAGAGAGTATTGGTGGCCCTGCATGAAGAGGGATGTCGCGTGGTTTGTTGAGAGGTGCTTGACCTGTCGCAGGATTAAGGCCGAGCACCAACGTCCGCATGGCAAGTTACAGCCACTTGAGGTTCCCCAGTGGAAGTGAGAACAGATTTCTATGGATTTTATCACCAAATTGCCGAGAACCGCGAGGGGCGTCGATGCAATTTGGGTGATAGTCGACCGGCTGACGAAGAGCGCCCACTTCCTTGCTATCAGTGAGAGCTCTTCCGCAGAGAGGCTGGCCGAGTTGTATGTGAGAGAGGTGGTATCGCGTCGTCGAGTGCCGATCTCGATTGTATCAGATCAGGATGTATGTTTCACTTCCAGGTTCTGGAAGAAGTTCCATGAGGAGTTGGGCACGAGGCTGCATTTCAGTACCGCTTAGATGGACAGAGTGAGCGGACGATCCAGACACTCGAGGACATGCTTCGGGCATGTGTGTTGGACTTCGGAGGAAGTTGGGACACGTGTTTGCCTTTGGCTGAGTTTTCCTATAATAACAGCCATCACTCGAGTATTGGTATGCCTCCCTTCGAGTTGTTGTATGGGAGGAGGTGTCAGACTCCCATTTGCTGGGGAGAGGTAGGACAGCGCGTGATGGGCAGCACTGAGATAGTGCTTCAGACGACCGAGCAGATACAGCAGGTTAGACAGAGGTCGTTGACAGCCCAGAGTCGCCAGAAGAGTTATGCGGATAGGCGACGGTCCAAGCTCGAGTTTCAGGTCGGGGATTTTGTACTCCTGAAGGTGTCTCCTTGGAAAGGAGTAATTTGATTCAGGAAGAGGGGCAAGTTGGGGCCCCGGTACATTGGTCCTTTCAGGGTGACCGCCAGGGTAGGCAGGGTAGCATACCGTTTGGAGCTGCCTGCGGAGTTGAGCCAGATTCATGATACTTTCCACGTGTCTCAGTTAAGGAAGTGTATAGCCGACGAGTCGGCGGTAGTGCCACTGGAGGATGTTCAGGTGGATGCGTGATTGAATTATGTTGAGAGACCAATCGCGATCCTGGATCGGTAGATCAAGGTTCTGAGGAACAAGGAGGTGCCCATGGTTCAGTTCCAGTGGCAGCATAGGAGAGGGTCCGAGCTGACTTGGGATCCCGATTCTGGATCGCCGGAGTACGCCCTGCGTACAAGAGCTGGTACGCGCCGCGTACTGCCCCCTGTTGACTTTCGTTGACTTTTAGGGTTTTGGTCAACATTTGGACTTTTAGGTCCGGGAGGGGTAAAATGGTCTTTTACCCTTCTGTGGGATGGTATAAAGGGATTTAATCTAGCCTTTGAGAGCCATTATTTATTTGAGGATATTGTTTATGTGATTAGGCGGGGGCTAGATCAGTATATCCGTATGCGAGATTATCCGAGTTACCCGAGGTGAGTCTTCTCACTATACTGTACCTGGAAGGGTACCTATGTGTGACCGGAAGGTCTTGTATGCTATGAGGTGTATGTACTGTATGATGTTATGTGATATGTGTGTGTTATGTATGCCGTGATGTGGACCGGAAGGTCAGGATGATATGGACCGGAAAGTGAGGATGATATGGGCCGGAAGGCCATTACGGGTAGGGCCGGAAGGTCTACCAGGGTTATGGGACGGAATTTCCCTGAGACATAGAGACCGGAAGGTCTTATAGTCGTGAGTGGCGTATGTGCGTATGTGGTATTTTGGGGAACTCACTAAGCTTTTATGCTTACAGTTGTTATGTTATGCGTTTCAGGTACTAGCGAGGATCGCGGGAAGGCGTCGGCATGATCCATACACACTTATGGAGTTTATGTTATTGAGATTCTGGGACATGTTTTGTTATGACACAGTGGATACATTATGTTTTTATGTTATTGTGTAATTGAAAGTATGATTTAAAAATGAAAAATTGTTTTGAAAATTTCACGTTGTTACATATGTGGTGTTTGGGTGTGTGTACCGAGAGTAATAGAGAGAGTGTAAATGAGAGAGATTTAGAGAGAGATGTAGAGAGAGGTCAATAACTAGAGGGAGAGAGGTGATGGTTGCTGAGTTGTGAGGAAATGAGGACCAAAGACCCTCTACTTATAGCCTCTAACAAGCTCATATGTCAATGCCTCCATAGAAAAACCAACACTCCACATAAAACTAGGATTGTACTTAGAAGGAAGAGTATACTCCAAAGGATTATTGTGGTGGTGGTTTACGTGGGAAGAGGGAAACAAAGAAATCAGATTTTTGTCTAGCAAGGTTTGGTGGGTCCCACAATGAGGTCACTCATCCATTACATGCCCAAAACTAACTTAATTTTGGTGTATCGGGATCCGTATGTCGAGAAACTTTTCCGATAGTGTCATTAGATAGAGTTTAATTCAAGGATTCCGAAACATCAAACAGATTAATTTTTAGAGTTACGGAACTCCGAGAAATCGCATTCTAAGTATTGCGTCTAAACGGCTAGCGGTGTCCGTTTTCGCGACTTTTGTAAATATATTCGCTAAAAATATTTCTAGTATGAAATTAAATAATAGACTATAGTCTGATTCCAAAAACGTTCTAAGAAATCCCATCGGCAAAGTGTAGGTGTCTCAACGGATCGATTCGGTTTTACGCGATTAAAGAAAAACAGTGTTTTACTGTCTGTTTTCTTAAAACTGCATATCTTTTGCATACGAACTCCGTTTTGGACGTTCTTTATATTTTCGGGAATAGGGAAACATGTACTATAATATTTTAATGTTTGTTTTACTCAAAATTGTTTAATGCAAAATTTCAGTTTTTCAAACGCATTTATTTGCGTTGTCGTTTAAGCGGTTTGATTCGGTTTACAGTTTATACATTTGGAAGTAGGTATCATTTGACAACATATAATAACTGAAATAAAATTATTTATTTTACTTTAGATGCACTAAAACCCAATAAGTCAGATTATCACGAGATTCACTGTTAAATGGTCGGTTATTATTTTTGCCCTAAGTTCCGGGATGTTACAATTTTCCTCATCATCAATTGACTCAAGAAAGGATCATGGGTTGTTCTGTTCATAGGGATAACATTTTCATCATTTTCAACCTCCTCATCCCTAAGATTATCTCCATTTTCCACACCATCAACACATGAGTCGTTATCATCACCTTCATTTTGTTCTTCATCAAACCGCCCCCTAAGTCCATCCCCATCATGGTCAACATAGACATAAATTATGTCATTTGTGCCATATACATCATAAATAAAAGCAACATAATCTACATCATCTAAAATTGGTCGAATGTCATCACATAAAGCTTTTTCTGGTTCATAGTAGTAAAGTTTTTTAATCTCCCCATGCATGAAACGTTCCAGGAAAGTGACACTCAGAATAAGTCATAGAAGAAAAATTAACATTATTGAAGGAGTTTTTCACTCCACCCCCCCCCCCAAAGTAAGACAAAGGATTACTAGTAAATACACCTTGGTAATTAAGCTCCACTATCGCAAACATTCCAACATCATGATTAGGTTGTGCCATTTATGCTACTAGCTTCATTTAGAACTTGATCGGCAACACTAATACCTCGATCGGATAGGACGCAACTGTGAAAACCCTAACTGTTGACTCGCCGTTTACTTCATATATAGTAAATTGAGGTCTAGGGGAAGGAGACGAGTGAAGTGAGGATCTATGTTAATATCTTTCATTAAAATGACATGGACCAAATATACACATCATTAACAATTTCAATTTAAAATAAATGACAGGCAGGATGAGAAATCAGGAAACCTTCTAAAATCGACTACAATAGTGTAATTGACATCTACACTAAAATATTAATGGTCAATTGTGCAAAAAAATAACATAGTTGGTCAAATCGAACCAAACGCAAAAGTTACTTGTGCTACAGTTGCATTTTCCCAACAAACTAACTGAAATAGTCTAAAATCGATAATAAATGCATGGATATGCATATGAAGGTGTTGCAATTCAATACGGTTCTTACAACCGATGGTAAAATTCAGAACAGGTCTCATATTGTTAGATTATAGGTCTCATGTTGTTAGATTATATAAACTGTAACGTCTTCCTTTCATAGAATTGCATAGAATTGTAACCATAAGCCCTAATAAGTTGATGATTTTGATACAATAAAATAAAGTTTATGCAACAAGATGCATCAAACATGCCTAAGCTTTTCCCAAAACATCATGAGCTCATGGCACTTGATGATTTTATCAAAGAAAAAACATACAAAGCATAAACCTCATTCACTAATATGCCATTTCAACTTGATAGCAAATCCCACGCCCCTTTGCCATTATATTACATACATTATTATATAAGCCCATCATTCCATGTTGCTCGCATCTTCACACGAATCTACAATCAAAGACAAAGGCTTGATAGGCATAAAAAAAAACACAAAACAAAACAAAACAAAACAATAGAGTAAATTACAATTTTGGTTCTAGCAAATATTAGCTATACTAAAGGACCAAAAATGTAATTTACTCTCTTTATAAACACAAAATATATTTCCAATAGTTGCCACCTTAAACTCCATTTAGGGTGATGACAACTTTGCGTGCAGTAGGTGCATCACGATGCTCACACAGCCATATCCCCTTCACAAACAGCATTCACATCATTTTATCAATAATCAACACCAATATTACATTATATCAAGAAATCATTAATCATTTTTTCACCCAAGAGTTTACTATTGACCTGCCAAGTTCCCATGTTGAGCTGTCCATCTGTAATTGGTATCCTGACAATTTATAAGTGTCAGTGGAACTGATGAATGCATACATAAGAAGAAAAAGAAAAAACTAATATATAATATCCATCCATACGTGAGAGCACACCCAAACATTGATGACTTAATGTGTGCTGGCATATCATCTGGACCTGCATTGCATATACACAAACTCCATGTCAGCAAAATCAAGAAACATGCACATCACATGATTCATGAATCATGAATGTACAAAAGTAACCTTCAATGGTATGTTTCCAGGGTGCAGATCTTCCCTGAAAGAACACTCCGTATCAGTATCAGGAACAACGCTAGGTGGCATAAGAAAAGAAAAACGACAAGCCTACCTCTGGGACGACTCTGTTGAGAAAAGTCTCCGTGTCAGCTCTGACATCTGAGTCGTAGTTTTCATTGATGGTCAATGATGCACTCGTGTGCTGCACTGTTTTCAAGGATGGATGCATGCATTATTATTATTTAAAAAACATATGTTTGTTTAATGATAATCTGTTGTTTGCTTTTTAACTCACTAACTTACAAAACAGATTTGCAAGACCACATTTAAATCCAGACAAATCTTCACCAATTTCCTTCAAGATCTGGTACAACCCATGAGGCCATGAGTAAATACGTATCAATAATCTTAACAAAATGAGAGATCAAAGAGAATGTGATACTTTTGATAATTGATATTGTTTGCTTTAAAACAACTCAATCGAATATTAGTGACATTTAGGGAAGCTATATAAATATTACAGGACTGGATGAAATCCAAATGAAAAACCTTTTTGACACATCAACATTATTCTAATCATTGGAGTTACAAGTCATAGTCAATTGACATAATAGTTAGCCTTTAATAATATCACATTGGATCATGCGCAACTTCAGTAAGTAAAAATGACATATTTCTCATCGTGACAAATTGGACAAGACGCAAGAGTCTTGGTTAAAATATGAGTCTTCTTCATATTTTGATTCTCAAAAAAAAAAAAAAAAAAAATCCTTTCCCTAATTTCCATAGAACCCTAATTCTATGGATATGAACTGGAGCAACGCCATTGCAAATTCTCAATCACATGTTATCCATTGGAATTTCAGTTTCTTCTTTCGATTATGCTATCCTGAATAGTACCAAATAGAGCAGCATAATCCGGTAGAATTGCAGAAAACTTTGAAGATAGGAGCCCGTAGAAATACAAAAGCTATAACATAATCAAACTACACTAAGATGTTACTGTTGTACACATAATCGGTGCACGATCGCTATATGAATAAAATAAAGTATAGCTTGGTAAAGAATATTTGCCTTGGGAGTAATAAGATGACAACCACGTTTCTGAGGAGGGAGGGTTATTGTCTTCTGAGCCCATTTCGGAGCCGCCATGACCGAAGGATCGCTTAAGGTGCTCGGCGTCGGAGTATAGAGAGCTTTCACCGGAAACGAAGATGTCGCCGACTTTTTGACCCCACCGAATGGAGCTGCAGCTGTTGCTGACGACAATGACACGGACGATTGCATTTCCACCGATTGCCCTTACCTTTGAACTGAACACACTCGCTAGTTAGCGAAAAAGTGAATCTGGGCTTTTGCGGCCTAAAAGTGATACACGCAGCTTCATTTAAATTTTGACCACAAAATAACGCATGAAGCCCAAAAAGTTTCCTGAGCCATTATTTTGTATGGTTTATGGTCCGCGATTTTACCTAGTCGATTATTCTTTAATTCACAATTGTGTGTATCGTTGAAGATATTTTTTTCGTGAACGTACTCTCTCTATTAATAGGAATGCATAGACAATACATGGTACTAACATTTTATATGTGAAAAGGCTAAACATAGGTCGAATAAAAGTTCAACTATACATCTAATATGCATACATTCACGTCTCATGCGTTTCATGCGTTTCATCGGGAAGGAAGTGTTTGACATTTAAACCGGATAGGAACTCATTAAACAGGTATGTAGGAATACGTTGGTGTATTTAGAGTTGGAGGTAGGGTCGTTCCAAACATATTTTGGGCCCTAGACAAAAGAGAGAAAATTGCCCTTAAAATACACAAATTTCATTGATTTTTTTATAATAACTCAATATTTGAAAAAAAAATTATTTATACGAGCTTCTAAACATAACATTTTTTATTACAAAAATCCATATATTTAAAGAAAAATACTTCTTCTAGCTTTTTGAGATGCAAAATTATTAATGATATCTTCAAGATCGATTTTGTTTAACATATAATAAATAAAGTTCATAAAATTTTTGGGCCATTTTAAAAAATAGGTCATGGACGGTCGCCGTTATCGTCCACCCTTTGAGACGGGCCTGGTTGGAGGGCACGTGATGAACTCGAATATGGACCACAACCATTTTGTCAAGAGCAAAGTGTATGTCGATCTTGACATGCTTCATTTGTTTATGGTTAACATGTTGGCATAAAGGTAGACAACACTCACATTGTTTCAATACACAACCATAGCTTTGGACGGTGAAAAATGCATTTCTCAAAGAAGGTTTCGAAGCTAACAGGTCTCACTGGCAGCATTTGGCACCCCTCAATACTCCACCTTGACATTGGATTAAGATATAATGTTTTGTCGCTAAAAGGTTTGTACCAAGAAACACATAGTAACCTTAAGCGGGTCTATGTGCGAAGGGGATCCTTCTTATTATCAGAATATGAAACGAGACTAACAAATGGGGTGGCGTGAAGTTGTAGTCCATGGCCAACAATGTTGTGATGCAATGGATAATGTATTTCAAAGTGTTGAAATGAAATTTTGTAGGGTTATGCTTGAACAAACATATTTGATGGATTGTCTATGTTAGATCATGAGGAGTAAAAGTAAGGTACATGAGAGCACATATTAAGCTATGATATAAAGGTATATTCATCCATATGGGTGCCCCGAGGCATCGAGCTTAGCATATGTATTGACAGATGTGTGACATAGTTTGTAGTTAAGCATGTGTGCATACTTGAGGGTCTCGATGATATATTCTTATTGACTGATATACATGCCATATTTGTTTTGTGTAGTTGATATACCAAGAAAATAGTCAAACTCCTAATGATCTGGCATAAATAAATATTTATGTGTTTTAGAACATTTTATGAAGATACTTATATAATAGCAAAGTATATGGATTTAATCGAAATACATGTACATATTTTTTTTCAAAGATTAATCCTATTCTTAAAGTTTATCATAAACATGTACATAATTTTCACAAAACGATAAGGATGGTATCTGCAATTGGAGAGAGATATTTATGATTGCTTATTTAAAATGTGCATTACCTTAATGCATTTTAGTACCACTAACAAGTTAATTTGAGTGTATGAATTACACAATTTTATGTTTACTGAATCATTTTTGGATAAGTTTTCCTTATTTTAATTTATATATTAATTTGTTTTCGTATGCATAAATTGTTTCATTTTTGTACTACAAGTATCTTGGCAATTTATTGTGTTTTGATATCACATGAGCTAATACAAAGGTTTTGAAACTGTATTTTGGCATAGTATAATATTATAAAAACATTTAACATGATTTATTCTTCAATAATCAATAGGTATTCACCAAAATGACCACATGGGAAGCTTTTACATCACTAAACAACTACACTTTTTCAAACATTAAAAAATAATCAACATCCCCAAGAACGTATAAACATATGTATACTTAGTCTGGAAAAAAGAAATTCCAATAAACTTTTGCAGTCATATTCTATTCTTTGTGGTGGAATTTTATAATATATTCAAGTTCCCCGACCTAATAAAATTCAAAAATTATTCACAAGAAATCATTTTTCTTATGAGTATTAATGTTTTGTTTGTTCCTGACATAATGTTCAACCACGCACACTATCGTCATTATTTATATTCGCTAAAGGTTCAAAAGGTCATCTATTTCCATCTGAAAGTCCCAAACCCTTTGAAGATTTGTAGATCAAATATAAACCAGAAAGAACCATAAAGAACAATGAAAAACAGAAAAAGTAAAGAACACAAGAGATTCTCCAAATTGTCTCTTTCACCAAGAAAGAGTTTGTTTTCACCAAAAAAATGGGGTTGTCACAAAGACTATTAACACAAAGCCAATGACAACACCAAGCTATACATTTGGATTTCACCCTAATGTTGTATATATACTAATCTAATCTAGACAATTCCTTTAATCAAGGGATTGTATCTAATATACATATAAACTAATTTGGTATATAAGGAATGTATTAAATCATATCTTCTCCAGATTTAGATATCAACACCAACACTTCAGAAGCTGATTAGAGCATCAGCTTTAGCGTCAGGAAGATCAGCTTCAGCTTCAGTCATCAACGTCAGTAAGATCAGCTTCAGCTTCAGTCATCATCGTCAGGGTCAAGTTGATCAGCTTCAGCTTCAGATAGTGAATGACCATCAGTGAATATCATCAGTGTATCATCTGATCAGTGTGTCATTAGTGTATAACCATCAATGTCTGGACACACTGATCAGTCTTCAATAGATGGTATCTTCATTTCTTTGGTGCTGATAGAGTCTTCAGGGTCTTCCATTTATCAGGAGATGTTCTTCAGTCTTCGACATATGAACTTCTATCAACATATCTTCTGATTAAGTAACTAAACTAGCTCTGACAGAGCAGGTTGTTTAAGTTATACTATTTACACTTACTTAGACAAGACTGGTTGTCTATAGTGAGCATATAAACTATAACTATTAAGTATATAATTTGCATTATCAAATCTATACAAATGAGTGACCAAACAATCTCCTCATATTTGATGATGTCAAAACTAAACTAATAAAGAATGAACTAATAGATAAATACAACTGAAGTAATATACTGATTTCTACCCCTTAGATTTAGCTCCCCCTCAGATTTATAACATTCTTTCTTTCAAGAGTGTCTGCTATTCAATAAATGATCAAGTGACAACATAGCAAAACTAAGCTTTTCTCCCCCTTTTTGACAACATCAATAGGTACTTTTTGTAAAAACCGGTTCAATTCGGTCATAGTTCGACGATCAAACCCCCGTGGGCCGCGATGCAATAAAGACCAATGGCACGTAGATTGGGGTCTCTTAAGTATAGGTGTTTGTATTTTTAATTTAACCAGCCGAGGTTTAACAAACTAATAAATTTTACATGGTTAATATAATTAAGTTCAAATTTATATATATAAATATATAAATATATATATAAATGTGTGTGTGTTAATTACCTTTGCAATTATCTAAATACATGTAGGATATGTAACGTGTATATATTCAAAATAAATATACACTTAAAATTTCGTGTTGTGTAAAAATCCTAAAAACCAAATACCTTATATACGTACATACACCAATACTTCCAATAATATATCAAATTCAAATAGAGGAATATACAAACACTAATAAGATGACAGCCAATGGACACTAATAAATTGACAGCCAATTGACACTGTAGGGGAATGGCTTTATTCCTTCCTTTTTTCTTCCTTGTTTCCTGCAATCTATCAGAGAATCCCAAACACCTTTACCTACATTGATTCCCATTAAAACAATCCATCCATTCTTCAATTATCAAATACACATAAACAGATTCAAAACAATCCTTCCATTCTTCAATTATCAAATACACATAAACAGAATCAAAACAATCCTTCCATTCTTCAATTTTCAAAATACACATAAACAGATTCAAAACGAACCTCCTCATCAGTTTCTATCATAAACAACCAAAAGGACAACCTGTATCCAAGCCAGAACACTCCAGTTCTTGATTCTCGAGTACAACTGCAAACCAGAAGAACAATAACCCGTTGGTATTTCTGTTCATTTTCCTGTGGAAGAAGCACAATACCAAACACCCATCGAATTCTCGTTCTTTCCCTGTCAAATTATCAAAACCCAAACACCTATCGAAACCCTATTGATCAAACTCCATACTTTGCCATAAAGATCACCAACTCAGACAAAGAAAAATTCGGACCATTCATCAGATTTGGAATCACAAATCAAAAGTCAAAATGTAAGTAACATGATCTTCAGTAAACCGAAACCCAAAGACGTACAGAATGAAGGATGAGATAAAGGATTCAGATTCAATTGAAAGATTTGGAATAGCTATTACCTCAATCGATCTTGCCCCCTTCCGAGTCGTCGAACACCGCCGCAAAAACACTGCTGCTGTCACCACTCGATTCTAGCCGCCGGAAGACAGAATCCACCCCTTCGTGACTGCCCTCGAGAAACCCCACCGCTACCCTCGTGATTTACCGATCGTCGGGTCCGCCTTCAGCTTCTATCTCCGAGACGAAGCAAGCCCCGGTTCATCATCGAACTTCGCCAGAGCTGCTGCCTCGTTCCCCCGGGCTGTTGATACAGACGACGAAGGGGGAGTCTTCGCCAGGAAGTCGGAGTCGGGTGACGAGGGTGGCGAACCCGATGCGATCGGTGGCTCTCCTTGCGATGAAAAGCTTGAGTGCTTTCTCCAATTTTCAGGTTTTCTATCGTAGTTTGAAAAACCTGCTAAACCAATCTTCGAAGGACACCGGCAGGAGTTATCAGACCAAGCAAAAGTAGGCACAGAACCAACGCCTTCATCGTAAAATCAGGAACATACGTGGAGGAACGAT